TTTATACACTGCACTTATACTAACTTCCTAGGAAGGAGCCAGAATAAAAATGAGAATATCTTTCAATGTGTCTTTAGGTTGCTTCTTCATATGAGCTAATTTTTTCTACTGTGTGTGCACCTTTTTTAGGGTGCAGGATTCCCTAAGGGAGCCACCAAGTTCTATTCCCTTTCTGTCCCACAATGCAGTGCTCAAGTAGAGTCTTGATCTTTTAGTAGCCCACTTAAAATAAAACTTCTTAAAAATAAAATTAGCCATGGAAAACTTCTCTTTAGGTACCTTATAAAATGAGCACACACTACTCATTTGTGTAGTTTTGTTTTCTGGCACGCTGGTTTCCATTAATTAAAAAAAAAAAAAACCCAGCAATGAAAAAACAATTTGGCTCCACTGCAAATACCTATTTCCAACAGATTTCTCAGTTCATCTTAAACACTATAAATGAGAAGTGACAAATGTCAAAGAGAGAGAGGAGGGACATCTATTTTGTCTCTGCTCATTTAAAAAGATTCTTACATGCTGCCCCAGTCTTAATACAATCTCCCTTTTGGGGCAGAAAGTTTTGCAAAGGCTTGTGACACCAATAACATGGGAGGCTTTCCACACAAGGCCAGCCATGTGAGCCTGATCATGACCCGGAGGAAATTCTTCCTTAGGGGAGAAAGGTCAGAAGGACAGTATCTGACAGAGGGGCAACATGCTTCATTTACAGCCCAGAGGGACCTTAGGCCTTGGGAGAACCTGCCTCAACATGAGCACATACGTCCAGGGAATTTGGGGCCTGGTTGACTTTGAAGCAAAAATTGGGAGAAGCATTTGAGTGATCCACTGAGGGTCCCTTCTCCTCTCAGAGAATATGCTACCAGATCCGTTTTTACATTTTCCTTCTTATGTCTACATACCCGACTTCTCTGCACTTACACGAAATCCTGACTTTGGTTTATCCATCTCTACTCTCTATTCCTAACTCTTAATCGAATGTGATGTCAGTGGCACTAAGAGAAATTCTGACTTTCTTCCAATTCTCCCTCAACAAATTTGGCCCCAGAGCATTTACCAACTTTGCGGACGTCCAGCAAACCGTGCCAACT